TAACTTATCCTACATATCCACTTGCATGTATAATCTTGACTTGCTATCGTGTTTATAAAACAAGAGATTAGGTATGTCAGATGGGACATAAGTGTGAACTCATGTTTAGCTTAATGTAGATACAGATAGATACAGCTAATTGGTTAGTTACATTTGTATATTATACACACTTATTACTCAGTACTCCTTAGATATATCCACTTGGAAGACCTAGAGGTAATGTCATCCTAGCAGCAATGAGCATACCCAGTACCCACATCTTGGTTTATAATTTATTCTGTAATAAAAAGAACCAGAGCTCCCTAGGGAAATGTCGATTGTACCCCTGGAACAGGGACCATGAAAAATGAGCATGGGGCATTTTGTATGGTGGTGAAAGTAAATGCTTAAAAATCAAATATTGGTGGTTATATAAAAATCAAAATGATGGTGGATACAGAAGCCAGATAAAAAAGATCCCTAGTGCCCATGGTTGGAACAATTTAAACAGAATAATATGGTGTTGGATTATAATCCAAAATGTAAAATGTAAAAATATCCTTACTAATATGTGAATCAATGATTGAATAAATAATTCACTGGAATAAAATAGGCAAGTCTCCTAAAAATGTATGTAGGTTCTTCAGCCTGAAGTTGAAGTATAAATCCTTACCCTTGAAGGGTGAGTTACACATAGTGACTTCCTTCCAAGGAGGACAGTAGTGAATGGGAGAGAACTGTACCCTAAACAAACCAGACAAACACTACCTGAATGAGGAAATCCAGGTCACCACCATTAGCAGAGATGTGTTAAATAGCATAATTACTGATATAATGTGATGAGAATAGCACTATAATCTTGTTCTCCAGAATCCTTAAGCCTTATATAATCAAAAAGGACATTCTATAAAATACCTGGCTGGTGCTTCTCAAAACTGCCAAGGACATCAGAAACAATAAATGTCTGAGAAACTGTCAAAAGTCTAAGAAGACATACAAATGTAATATGTTATCCAGATGGTATCCTGGGACAGGAAAAGATTTTAATAAAACCTAAAGAAATCCAACAAAGTATAAACTTAGATAATAATAAAGTATCAATATTTGTTCATTAGTTGTGCAATGTTCACAGTAGAGCAATCTTTGCATAGAATATATGTGATATCTTGAAACTAAACTAAAACTACTCTGAAATTAAAGGTTTATTGGTAGGGTTTAACTTATCTCCCGAATGGAATACTATTCGACTGTAGAAAGGAAAAAAACTTTATAGACATTGTATGGAAACTATGTACCATTTTTTTTTTCAGTAAGATTTGATGCAGAATTGCATGCTTTTCTTAATAAGGGAACCAAAATTGAAAACTTATGTATGTCTTATATGCTGTATATACAAAGAAATGCTGAAATAACACAGGTAAAACTAATAATCAAAATTTTCTGTGGGGTCACATACATGGGCAAAAAGGGCGGAGTGGTCTTTCTAGAATAAATCTTCCTGCGCATTTTTTGAACCATATGAATATATGATCTATGCAAAAATTGTTAAATGTCTTCTTCCTTTTTTACTAACCTTTGCAATCTCTGAACTCAGCATTCAAAAACTAGAAACAGCATAAAGGGAAGTAAAATTTTTCATGAATCTCACATTCCAAATTTGACAATATTTCGACTTTAAACATTTTCCACAGCTTACAAATGACTTAAGAAAATTTCTTTTACATGAAACTTTATATTGTTGACATAATTCAAAAATGAATTTTTAAAACTTGATGTGAATCCAACCAACCAGCCATAAACCACGAGAGAGTAAAAGTACATATGTAAAACTTAACCAGAAATAAAAAGCAAGTCTTTCCTTCTGGCAGGAAGAAAAAATCCCCTTAAACCTTTAAACTTAACAAGGTTACAGTTATCATCAGGAAAGAATGTAGTCTTAGCCAAGTGTACCAAGGAAGGAGGTAAAGTGTGTTTATATTTAAACCGAGGGCTAGTGGACACTATTACAGTAAGCTCCCATTCAGCAACATCTTAATAAAAAGACACTTAAATGCACAGTCTGAACTGTTCGCTGTAGAGTAGTCAACCATTAGAAAGTTCTAGTGTGGGAGACTCCATTTTATACTGACTCAGTTTCTCAGCTGTTTCTTGTCTCAAATTTGTACTGCATTATCTACAGTACAAGACATTGTGCATCTGCCACCTGGAACCAAATTTGATCAAACTAAAAGATGAAAGAACATAACATTTTAATGGTTATCTTAAAAGTATTCATTTGGTGTTCAAGTTTTTCCAGAGCTTGACCAAGGATAAGCTGTAGTGTATTAGGGCTGGACATTTGGTTTCTATACAGGTCCATATGCCTAGATTGATTACTTTGTATATAACATGAATGCTAATAAATGATAATAGAATATATATATATATATATATATATATATATTTAGTTCTGTGAAGTTGATTTGTTTCTCCCCCAAACAGGAATGATTATAATAATAGGTAATATTTACATAAGAGTAACTTGTGCTAGTCAGTGTCCTTTGTTATCCAAATACTATCTCACTTAATCCTCACCAAATGTTTTGTGATGGTTCTATGATTCTCCCCACTTTAAAAAATCAGAAAAAGTAAGTGAAATCCGGAGAGGTTAAATAACTCTGTAACTGTTGAAAATAAGGAACAGCCCCAGCAAGTGAGAGCCAGAGACCTGCCTGCCTATTGTATCTAATGTAGCTAATGATGTCTGGCTGAATTCTAGAAAACTCACCATACACGTTCTTTACTAACAGATGTATAGTTTCATTTTATCCAGAGTTTCACATCTATTTATTATTTGATACTAACAATAGTGCTATGATATTCAAAATTGATATTATTCTCCTTTACAGATAGGGGAAATGCAACTCAGATCATCTGTCTTAAAAGTGGCAGTTATGATGAGCTACTATCCTAACTCTTCCCACTAATTATAAGTTTAGTGTGTTCTTTTACTACTCTAAATTTTCAGGAATAAATTTTATTTCTAACAGCCCTTATTATTTAAATGGTTTAATCTTTCCAATTTTAATCATATCACTAAATGATTTCTAAAAGAGCAAATATTTCAGTTAGATAAGTGAAACGATAACTTTCCTAATTTTTAAAGTCATTATCTATAGAAAGACATTAGACATAGAATTTTAGAGTCAGTTATATTTCAACACAGGAAATAGTCATAAATGTATTTTTATGCTTCATAAGTATAATTACATCTAGAATTATAATCAATTATCTAAGAATTTCTTTTTCTTCTGTAAATCTAATTAATATCATCTTATTAATAAAATGATTCAGATTTTTAATCCATTCAATTCTGAATTGCTTTTATCCAATATTGCTTTTCATTTCTAAAATTACTCCCACTGTTTTCAAAAGAAGTTTATCATGGAAAAGGAAATGTACAATGATAATTGAGCTTCACTTAGAGTAGTATAGGGAAGTCTAGTTATCCAGCCTCAATTCATCTGTCTGACATACTACATAAAAGATGATCTGGTAGAAGGCTTTGAAACTAGGGCAATTATTATTTATTAAATCTTAATTGTTAACATCATTTCTATCCTCCTTTCTAGTTGTTACATGCAGAAGAGTAAACATGTTACAAGATTTTAATAGTGTTTATTATGGTATCTTCCTAAAATTTTAGATGCTTTTACTGTCATTTTATTAGTAATCTAGGGGCACAGCACTTAAATCATAGAAAGCATAGCCACTGAGGGTGGGAATTGCTGGTCCAGCAATCAGTCTGTTTTCATAACCCCTCTTCATCCTCCTTCAAACCTCCCTGAAAAAAATCCCTCCATGGCAAGAAGTGGAAAGCTTCCTGCAGGTTTCCCAGGGAAAATAGAGGTTTGGTTGGGATTGGGAGATTGGGGTTTCAGCACTAGTCTCTCCAGTGCCCTCAGCCAGGCCCCCAGCTGGATTCAGCATCCACAAGCTGGTTGTGCCTCCTTTTCCCTAGAACCTTTGAACTCTCACCTCTAGGGGCCTCATACTCATCACTCGTTAGCAAGTAAAGGGCATTCTGGGCACTTTGGTTACCAGGACTCACCCTAGGTGTGTAGGGAGTGATGTGTATCTGTATATGTTGTCTACCAAAGTGAAAAAGAAATAATCTAACCAAAGAGGGAAAAGAGATGGAAGTTAATATTTGCATCATAGAAACTTGAAAGTTAAGTCTAAGCCTTTTGACATTTATCTACTTTTTTTTTTTAAACTTGGCATATGCCATTGAAGATAGTTTTGCTTCATAGTTTGTTTTTATTTGCAAGAGAATGGTATAAAATCATTGCTTGCTTATTTTTGGTAATGGTGGCAAAGTGATGTCAGTTTCACTGTTTTTGCACTGTCATCTGGCTCTCACCACCACCACCACGCAAACATTTGAGAAACAGCTTACATGACTTATAAGTCTGTAGCTTGGAAAAGAAAAAAAAAAATCTTGATGTTTTACATAAAAATCCTTATTTCTGGCTTCTATTGAAAAAAATTCAGACCCAAATTCACACATGGCAACAATCAGCTAAAGCCAAGTGTTGGTTGATTCTGTTCATTTACATTTGCAGCTCTGAGTTCAGCTTCACTGTCGAGATGATTAAAGTTTTCATATAGACCTTCCTATCCTGATAATCCACCAACTTCTGTGTTGTCTCCTTATGTGCATTACTTTTAGATCATAGAAAAATCTCGTTTCTATTTCAAATGAATCTAGATAGATTTTGATTTTTTAATCTTAAAACGGAAATAAACTCTTTTAGACAATTATGTAACATTAAAATAATTCATAATTGCTGATTGTGTCTGCTGTCAGTCTTGTTGTGAGATATACTTATTAATTTATCATAAAGGAACAACAATAATCTTACTATTCTTACCATTTGTCTTCATAAATACTGCAAAAGTAATTTTTCTGCATTGAGGACATCATGAATTATTTTATGCCCAAAACATCTGTTAAAATAATTCTCTGGATTTTATTTCAGCACTGCATATGTCCTTAGAAGATAGCATAAAATGGCTTGGAGAGGTGATGGCACAAATAGGACCATCTCATCCACAAGAAAATGAGAAAAGTAATATCTTTGATGTAAAACAAGCTAATGCTATCATTGACTATATAAAAATCAGGTATGGATTTTTTTTCAATAGCATTTCTTTTTTATTTTCTAATCTAGAAATGTCTACTAACTAGAAACTAATTCAATCTCAACAAATTTAGTTGCTTACATAATTTATACAATAACTTGTCACATAATAATTAGGTAATATTCAAATCTTACATCTAGTAATTAAAAGTCAGGACACTGAATATTTTGACTAACTTTGCATTCTTAAAAGGTTGCTTGTGTTTGATAAATATAATTTCATCTAGAATTATAATTATAAAAGAATTTTTCTTTTCTCTGCATCTCTAATTAGTACCATTTTATTAATAAAATGATCCTTTCAGATTAATCAGACTTGATTACAATAGACAGTGTTTTAGGTAGTTGACCTTGACATCAAAATTTTAAAAAGCAGCATTAATTTCCATCAAAACATGTCTTTTAAATGCTTTGTACTAGAGTCTGAAGAGATTTATGAATATACATCCTCCAATTTATTATGTGCCCTGAAATATTTCATGGTATTGGCCAATTAAACTCATTAGGGCTTTCGTTCTGCTTACAAAATGGTGGTATATAGAGGGAAAGCATTTTTATAACAGTGTCTCTTCATTGGTGAGCTAAGAAATCTGTCTTTATATAATCTGTCACATGGTTTGCATTAGAGTCATGCATCTCTCCCAAGGGACATTTTTAAGTCTGCAAATATTTAAACAAGAGTTGGTAAAATTCTTTATTTTGCTTCACTAAAAGTTTTTGCAGAATATCTTTGTTCTTTTAATAGTATATACTGCAGTGTTTTCCAACTTTAAATTTTAAAATTCCCAAATAAAGGGTGCTACAGGATGTCCGAGGCATGCTCACGGTTTGCTTGCCAAGGATACTGGTTATAGTCTGGGGGCTTTTTAAATATTAATGTGTTTAAGATGAAAACGTTTATATACTGGTTTCTGGCATGAATTAATAATAGCATGTGATATATTATGTTTTTATATAATAGCATTTGATATAATATAATTTCTTAACATAAAAACATACCCCCTAATGTGTGTCTCTCATTAAAAGCCAGCGATGTCTTCATATTGATTAGAATAAGGCAAGGGCCTCATGTAGGGAGGGCGGGGGAGTGGAAACTCGGAGTTGGATGGGAACCTGTGCTCAGGGTCTTCTGCCCATCAGATTTGGGAATCAGTGGAGGAGTGGAATTCTCTGCGTATTTATAGCCTATGACATCCTTCTTGCCCTTTTCTCAATATTTGAATCTACCATGTCTTTCTTGTAGAAAACTATTTTTTTTTTCCTTTCTTTGAGATGAGCTCTCAATCCATGAACTTTATAATGGGCACTGGGACTGGTAGTTAACCATCACAGTAAAATTGAGCAGGCATATCAATGGCACCTTCCGGATGGCAAAATAAATGTGGTATCTCTTCTCTTTCATCCCATCTCTCTGGACAAATATTTGTCAACTTATTTCTTGACCTTTCATTTCAGAAAATGGTTAAGTTCAGAGGAAATGTCAGTGTCAGTTGCCTCCAAATCCTAAGCAGTGTAACTTCACATCCCAATATTCCTTACTCTGACTTCTCTCTCTCACACTTCTTTCTTGAGAAGCACGTAAAGTAAATCAGAACTACTTCTGATACTGTTTAATCTTCATATTGTGATTTCAAAGAAATTATGCATACTTAAATGTTCTGGGTGCAGAAAATATCAGTTAGTGGGATATCTGATATTGAAATTGCATACAGAAAAATGTTTTTCTGCAACACCTGTTCAGAATGCCTCATAGGTCCACAAATGTAAGTTTAATGGCAATTAAATCATATAATACTTTTCATTTTAATGACTACAAAGAAGTTTTATAAATATGAAGCTAATTCAATTATCAAACATATAAGGCTGTTTCAATTTAACTGATATTAAGTTTACTCAACCGGGGAAAACCCTAGTCAATTTAGAGAGAACACTTTTTAGAACATGACCCGTAGCACATGAAATTTAACTGACAATAAAATTGAAATTTCATTTGATACTCTTAATATAGTCTAAATTATATATTGTCATGAGTCTGTGACTTCAAAAAACTAAACTACAATTTCTCCTTCACACTACTGTTAGTCACTGACTAAACACTTGTGCAGTAATATACATGTGTATATGTTGTATGCTATACGCAAATGTAAATACTACTGCAGTTTTTTTATTAAAACATCATTTAGAGATAGATCTGGTCCAAATATACTTCTGTCATCGGCAGAAGGACCTACCTACCTCCTGGGAATACGCAGACAAATAAATACTTGATATAAGAAAAACAACATGCCCTTTATACAACAGAATATCACACTTGTTTGACATGAGGTCAGATGTCTACATCCATTTCCATTCTTAGTATTCACCCTTTGATACAGGACCAAAACACAATGTTTGACAAAATAGTCTAGGAGCTTGAGTCAACCAGAGGCTAAGTATAAAGAGAGGAAACGTATTCCCATAGGTAGCGTCACTTTGTTCCCCTGTGAGGTCATTTCACAGTTCCCTGGTAAAATTAGAAACCCCAACCAAGATGGGGGCCAGAATGAATCAGTGGGGATAACTCAGCCTGCCTCTGAGGCACCTCCCTTCCCCTGTCTGCTCCTCCCTAGTCCCGACCTTGCCCCAGTCTTGCATCTCGACCATTACATACAAATTGTATATTATATTCATTGCAAAACAGTACATTTTCCATCTGCCACAGGACAATCTAACTGCTGGCTGCAATCAAGAGAATAAATCTAAACTATGAAATTTCAGGAAGGGAGATTTATGAATTAACTTCTTTGTGTTATGAAGATGGAGAAAGGAAAATTTTACACTCATTCACTGAAGGGAAGCCAAGCTATTTCCAAAATGCTCTACAATCCTTAAAGTCTCTACTCACATCAGTTATTGCCAGTTTAATATTTTTAATCTTAAAGCTTTTTTTAGGTAACCAGTATTAAAGGAGGAAGAGTTTGAATTTATTTTACTTCATTGAATCATCAAACTTCACTAATCTTGATGTATTTTCCAGCCAACAAATCAAAATAATGTCAAAAGCTAAGCTACTTTTCTGAATGTTGATGACTAATTTGAATGTACAAGGCTTTATTTTTTTTCCCCAAAAAAATAAATACCATGACTGAGTCCGCACAGCCATCACTTTTTAATAAATTGTGTTAGGAGTGAGATCAACTGCTAATATAACTCAGAGAGACCCAGCTGCCTGAGGATTTCTTCATTGATTTCAAATGAATTGAAACTTTGATCCATTACAGCATTCAGGAGAAACCATTATTATACATGCTCTGTAGCTACATTTTGCAAATGTTAATTTCTCAGTTATATTAAAATCAATTTTCTTAAATAGCAAAAATCACCAGAGTGAAAGAGAAACCACTAAGACAATTTTTTGTTCTTAGGCATTTTGCTGTATTATGAGTCTATTAATTTTCCAAGCAGCGGGAAGAGAATTAGAAAAATTCAAATATTATCACAAACAGGATATTAGAAGTCAGCCCTTCGGTAAATTTTAAACTCGCAATAACACATTGCTGATTTTCAAACTGACAAGAAACATTTGTTTTAAAAAAGTATCCTTGGTCTCTTTATAGTTTGTCTCCACTGACCACCTAAACTTTAGGGTTGAAAGTAGCCTCCTTAAACTTATTTCCCTCTTTGGTGTGTGATTGAATATTCTGCAAGGAAACCAGGCATCTTCTAATGGATTTCAGTTCATGTTGCATCATTTTTTCAGGTGTTATCAGATTAATTTAATCTTGAAACAGTTTGAGAATGTGAGAAGTAATTGCTCTGAAAGTAAGTTACATAATTCATTGTCATTCATGCCAGAGGAAATTGACTTTTCATTTAGGAGCAAAACATGAAAAATAATATGAAGTTTGGTGCTATTTAGGGGCAATGTATTATTTAGTCTGAAGACAGGGAAATTCAAAATATAATCTAATTGCTCCCTTATCCCAAAACTACCCACTCATCACAGATTAATTTACAGAGATTATTTTATATACTGTTTATATTGTCAGGATCTCAAAAACTAAGTCTTTAATTTTGTACCACTTCTGGACAACTCATTTTTTTAGAAAGGAGGGGGCTAACTCTATTATTAGTATTTAATGCCTTTAGCTTGGTCAACATAAACAACTTTCCTTTAATAAATACTCTTACATAGTTGCTTTTTAATCCTGAAGTAAATTTATCTAAGTTGCATATTTATTTTGTATTTCAGTTTATTTCAACACTACAAGCTATATGAGTTCCTGTTCTATTCTGCCAGGGAAGAAATTGTGATAGGAACTGAGGTAAGTAATTTATCTAGATGGAACCAATTAAGCTGAATCACTTAATGCATGCTGATCAGCATCTGGATCTTTAGCTGCTTAAAGCAACTTCTTGTCAAGATTAGTCAAGTGTTAATATAACCAACTACTAGTTTGCAAAAAGAATAATTACATAAAGTGAGCTTTGGATTAAGAAAATAAGCTGTCTCTTGGCATTAAATGCATTGTTAATCACATATACTTTATGTATTTATGGATTATTTGACAAAGCTCAATTGGATAGGGTATGGATGTCTTTATATAAATAAAATCAGGAAAAGTAAGATAAATTAAATTAATTTAAGTTAAATCTCTTCAAATTTCACATTTCCAGTCTACTCATTGTTTAAGGACTAATTCAAATCCCACTTCCTCAGTGAAGCAAACCTTCCTTAATTGTGTTGCATCTTTAAGGTTTTAGGCAAATTCTTTAATCATCTTCCATTATTTTATTCCAGTTGATTTCTTTCTGTGAGTATTAGCTACCTTTACCCCACCAATAAGCACACAAATATATGATATATTCTGTGGTTATCTAGTTGTTTTCTGTGGATTGATATTATTAATATAATCCAAAAGTAACTTCTTTGAAGGCAGGTATGATGTGCTGGTTTTCTCCCACAACATATACAGCAATACAGGACATAATAACCACTCAATAAATACTAGATCAGTAATCCAGTGACAGTGCTTATGATAATAATTCTTCAATAAATTATCTACCCAAAGACACCTATGAACAGCCCACGTGTACTTATAGCGTTGTAATTACTAGAGATGAATCCTGAGTAGGAGAACATCTTTAAGTAGCTTAAAGATACCATAAAAAGTGTCCCTTTAGGTTGTTAACCATTTTAGAAGACTATACCACCTGCAGTATTAGGGATAGGTGTGACAGTGGTCAGAAATAAACAGTGAATAGGGACAATTTCTTTATCTTTAGAATTTGCCTAATATTGAGAAACAGATGAAATGGTCAACTCCTCTGTCTTCCAGAGTATTGCTAGTCTGGAGTTTATGAATTGTTTTCTTCATAAACACTTCAGTCACCATTAAACATCTTCCATTTGGTAATTGTCCCAATGCCAGCCTTCTAAAAGTTACTTGAAGGAGCTCCTTTTTTTGCATTGACTTTCCTTTTAATTTCCTCTTATAGTCTCCTTCTACTGAAGCTTACATTAGGTGTCACTTAGTAGTTTGCCTGAAAATGTTTCCATTTCAGAATTACATCATATAGTGTGACAATATTACCATAATTATCATTTTGGAATAAACCCTATCTCATCTCTTCAGTAAAACTGGGGATAATGTAAGTGGCTTCAATAGCACCATGAGTAGATACTTAGAATCATCAAGAGAAAAAAAAATGTCATAAAGAACTCCCTTTTCCTTTGTCAGTTGCACAATTGTGCCTTTCGTCTCTATTGTGAGATATATTTAGGTCACATTTCTGCTTATGGAAAGATAAAAGGAAAAAGTATTGTCTTTTATACTTTCCCTGGAGCTGATCCTGGATATGAAAAAATTCCTCAAGGAAAGATACTGGGCCCCCAAAATTAGACCACTCATGAATTTTTAAAGGATTGACCAAAGCAGGTATTATAGTATAATATTTTATGGCATTTGGAAGTATCTGATAACACTTTGCACAATATCTGTTGTTTAATTACTAGAATTTCCTGGAGGAGGTAAGGGCTTGCTCCACCAATGAAATGATTCATGCTGACTTCAGTATTCTGTTCCCAAACAGGCACCCCAAAACAGATGCACAAATGCTCAAAATCTTACTCTCAGAAAAGCAGTCAAGTTAAATAATGAAATTATATTTCTTAATTTGGTAGAGTAAGAGAAAAAAACACATAAATATCCACTAAGAAAATTTGTTAAATGATTTAATTATTAATCGAGAACATAAATAAATTACACAATTTTCTGGGGTTTTAGTTTAAAGGAAACTGACATTTCACTTTTGACATTAACAATTACAATTGCTTCTAATTATTTTGCTCAACTCAAGAAATTTTCTTTATGCTTGATGTGGAGGCTTATTTCAGTAAATAATTATACTTGATGTGATTTTTTTTAATACAGAAATATGTCTAATACATTTAGTTGTTAGTTCATTTAGTGGTTCTTAGATCATTTGTATTGAAAAAAGCAGTAAACTGTGAACTCAGAGAATGGTAGAATGGAACCAAAAATGCATTTGGAGCCATCTGAGTAGATCAAAGGTCACTCACTTATTTATTTTTCAAAGATTTATTTATATGCATACAAGAACTGGGATACAGGCCAGAGGTGCAGGGGGTGAGTTTTCATGACAGACAGAGTAGGAAGCAGAACAGGCAGATTGACTGAAATACACTGCTGAGGGGAGCAGTGGGTAAAATGGGACAGGTCTGCTGCACCATGTGGGTTACCTCCCTGGCCGGGGATCAAACCCTTGCTGCAGTGGCTGTAGATACCTTCATAGTGCTGTGCTTTAACCCCTTGTACCACCAGAGAGGGCCTGGTCACTCACTTATTTAAGGATATGAGGACGGCCTTTCATTACCCAAGTGAGATCTCTCCAAACCTGCTGGGTTTTTTTTAAAGATTTATTTATTTATTTATTCATACAGAACTGGGGTACAGGCCAGAGATGCGGAGGGTGAGAGGATTCACCAGGGACAGAGTGGGGAGTAGAACAGGCAGATCGACAAGGTACACTGCTGAGGGGAGCAGCGGGCGGGTCAGGAGAGGTCTGCCATGCCACGTGGATCTCCTCCGGGGCAGGCGGGGATCGAATTCATGAGATAGTGGCTTAAGCTTCTTAGTGCAGTGCTTTAACCCGCTGCACCACCAGGGAGGGCCCAAAACCTGCTGTTTTAACAGTGCAATTTGGACACGATCTTTTCACATAGAATTGCAAGAGGACCAGCATTTCTTTAGGAGATAAGTATTTTCTTTCGTCTAAGGTGCCACCCTGAAATCTGCAAACTGTTGTTTCTTTGCTTTTGTTATGGAAAGACTATAGGAAAAAATTCATAATCACACACAAAGAACACTATTGAATACTAGCAATGACAGAGTCCAACAGATACCTTAAGTCATGGTTATTTCCAGGTATGTACTGCCAGACATTTACAAGTACAAGATGCTAAAGTTATGTGTTCAATTACTCAACATAGTTACCCAGTTCTTATGTCCTAGGCTTTGTACTATATCCCAGGGATACACGATGACAGGTTGCAATTCTTGTGGTTAATAATTCTTGTCAATAAATACTTTGAAGAATCTAATGAGAGGAGAGAGGTGAATAAATGAGTATTTGCAATCAATATAGGACCAAAACTGTTAAGATAGTTTGGGAATGCACAAAAGACCTGTAAATTAATGACTTATAAGGGTTTTTGGGAATAAGTGAATCCAAAAGGAAGCTTAAATTTTGTGAACGAGATAGTGAGTTGGTGTTATAATTTTTGGATGCAAAGGAAGAAATTCTACTGAAAAATATTTAATCAATAGGAATAAAAGACAGTGGTACATCATTTGGTTATTAAAACAAAGGTAGTGAGCTGCACTAAGGTAAAGTTATTATGTATGCACATGTGAGACAGTTTCTCATAACTGTTATTTTCTCTGATTCTGTTGGTCACATTGTTTTATATATGGCTATCTACCCCACACACTTATACACACATGTATATGCATATAATGTGTATATGTGCATATGCAGGTGTTTATACACATGCATACATATGTATAAACACATATGCATGCATGTGTGGGGTGGTAGATAGCCTTCCTCTATCTGGTGGCACATATGACACCGACAACTCCAGTTTAGCTGCTTCAGAGACATTCTTTTCCCACTGTTAACATTACTGACCTTGCTGCATCAGGTACCCACTCTTAATTAATCACTGCCATCAGTAATGTTATTAGAAAACCCAAGTAAGCCATATTGAATAGGTGTCAGAGAATAAATAAATCTCCAAAAGGAAACAGAAAGAACTTTCGCTAAAGGGAGAGTGATTTTATTAAGAGTGAACTATATACACATGTATAACCCCTTCTCCTTCCCAAATCCCACAAGTCAAAGCATACAATGAGGAAAGGAAAGTTTCTTCAACAAATGGTGCTAAGAAAATGCAACAGCCATTTACAAAAGACCATAACTAGACCAGTACATCACATATTAGAGAAAAATGAACTTAAAATGGCTCAAAGACATGAATGTAAAACCTGAAACAATAAAAAAATACAAGAGAGCATAGTCCAAACATATAACGTAGGCTTTAGAGAGTTCTTTGCGAGTTCATCTCCAACAGCAAAGAGGAAAAAAAGGGAATATAAACAATTAGAACTACATCAAATTAATGAACTTCTGAAAAAAAAATACACCTTACTGAATGTGAGAAAATATTTGTACATTGTACATCTGACAAGAAGCTGATAGTCAAGATCTAGGAAGAATTCATACAATTTAACAAGAAAATAAATAACCCAATCTAAAAAAAAAAAAAGGAAGAAAAGTTAACTAGGCACTATTCCAAAGAAGAAATACAGATGGCTAAAATGCTCATCATGATTTAACATCAGGGAAATGCAAATCGAAACCATAGTGATATGCCATCCTCACACCTGTGAGAATGGCTTATCTCAACAAGACCAATAACAACAAGTGTTGGTGAAGATGTGGACAAAAAAGAACACTTGTACAGTGTTGGTAGGAATGTAGACTATTTCAGTCCTTATCAAAAACAGTATGGCGGTTTCTCATATTACTTTTTAAAATTATTATATATCTATCTATCTATATATATATTATATATATTATATAATACATATAGTTTATATATATACATATATATATTATATAATACATATAGTTTATATATATATACATATAGTTTTATATATATATATATAAACTATATGTATATATATTTTACATAATTCTTCATTTTGTACATTTTTTTCATCTTGGTTGAAAATCC